TATATATATATATATATATATATATTAAATTAAGTAGTTATATATTAATTTAATATTAATTTACTATACTTTAAATTAAATAGTTATATATTATTTATAAACTATATTTATAAATAGTTTTTTTATATTTACTATGTTAACATAAACAAAAATTAAAATTATACATAATTAAATATAATTTATAAATAAAGTATTTCAACATAATTTGCTAATAATTATAGATAAATAGCTAAAATTATTATATATTTATTTGAAAATTACTTACTAAGTATTAATTAAATCATACAACATGTTTATGTATTAATTTAGTATAATAAATGCGTTTAACTAAAATTTATTATATCCATGTTAACTAAATAATTATAAATATTGTCAAATTATATCTTTAAAAAACTTAAATTTAAGATATTTATAATATAAAATACACTTAATTTATAAGAATACATATATAATTTTAATAATCAAATATTTATAACTAATTAAACACATATTTACTAACTTTACTAAACTTAATAATAATAATAATAATAATTTATTTAGGAAAACATTAATCTCAAAATAAACTATTAATATTAATATTCATAATCTTATCTTATTTTAGAAATTTTATTTTTTCTTCAAATAAAAATATATTTTTTTACTAAATATGATATATTATTAAGAATATTTTATGAAAAATTTTGTATGATTTTTATTAATAACAAAATATTTTTTATATATTAAATTGATTAACGATATAGTACTTATTTCATTAAATTATTTATTTCATAACGTAAATCAATATATCAAATTTAATAATTTATAAATTTCATGTGTAGCATATATGGCTCTAATTTCATGTGCAACTCATGTCACATTCTCACCAAAGCCTCTCTAAGCCTTCCCGAGTTCAATCCCACTGTCCTCACCCATCCATAGCCAGTGCCTCTTTGGAATTTTGAGCTCAAAATCCAGGGCTAATTTTTGTCACTCACCAAACTTCATAAAGTTTCCAATTAAACCTTCCAAAAGCTTCCTCAGACCCAACGAGAAAGTTCCCCACTAAAAGCCCCATCTATTGAGCTCTCTAACCCACTCCTAGAACATAACTGCACCACTTGTTGGTCGAACTCCTGCTTAAGCCTTATACCACAGCAAGGTGACACTTCGAGGAGGTTCGTTGGACTACAGAATAGCTTCCACAAGCATCCAATCGAGGCCTCACCTCTTGCACAAGGTATATTTCAAAATTTCTAATTTTAGGCTCGGTTTCATTAATTGTAAAGTAAACTTGTATTTCATATGTATGTGACCGTATAGATAGATTTGTCTTTACTAGATGAAGCTATAGGAACAAATCCCATGTGATTTGGTTGAGTATAGGGCGAGATCTTAGGGTTTTAGTGTAGACGGTCCTTGGTTTAGAACAGTTGGGGACGATAAACGGATGACGTCCATTCGTGTGTATTGATCAAACGACGTTGGAAGCGTCCGACGAGAGAATGTTTCATAAAGTGCGGGTGGCGTGACAGCTAACGCGGAAAACAACGTCAAATGGGAGTGCGTCGCGTGTTCTTCAGAGACACTAAGGTTGATGTGGATGTCTCGTGGATAAGTAGAAAAATGGGGCTTTTTTATTTATTTAATTAGTGAAACTTTAAAAATTCATAACTTGGTGTAGAAAAATCATAAAAATAAAATAAAATTACCCTATTGCCTAGTGAATAGAGGAGAAAATTAAGAACTAAAAATTAAAATTATTTACCATATATTTTATTTATAATTAATTAAATACTCTAGAGGGTATTCTAATTATATTTAATTAAATGATAATCACCCTGGCTTGAAATTTGGATGGCTTATTTTGCAAGTGGTTAGAGATGTCCTCTGGTTTTTTCAAAGTCAAAGAACACCTCTAACCTTAAAAGCCCTAATTTTCAAGTCCAATTGCTTATTTTTACTTAAAATAATTATATAAATTAAAATATAAATCAGAAAAAGATGAGATTTATTTTGGTAGGTTCTCTGTAATGGAAAATTTTAAAAATGGGTTTAGATAATTATGTACATTATCATAGGTAATTAAGCCATTAAAAAATTAAACAAATATAATATAATCCAAAAAACTATAAAAATTGTTCTGCACTGTAAAGAATGATCATTTTAACACTTTGTAAGAAGTTTGAAACATTTGAAATATATTTAATATCAAAGTCTATTTTTCAAGTAAAATGAGATTTTTACATTAAAATAAATATAATAAATAAATTATAATTAAAAAAGTTATGAAAAGTGATTTTAAGTGTTCCTTGTAATCATGAGCACCTAAGAAAAATAAAATTGGTATTAAAATAAATGGTTCATTTTTTGACTATTTTGAGTTTGAAAAATAATAAAAAATAATTAAAAATTACAAAAATATAAAAATGTACTAAAATCTTCAAAATTGTTCCCTGGTCACTTGGGACCCTTTAAAATATTTTTTCTAGTTTTTATAATTTAGTTATGTATTTTTAAATGTTGAAAATGTATTTTCCTTAATTTTTCATTAAAATAATTATAATAAATAAATTAAAAATCACAAAATGAAAATTTTTTTCTCTGAGTTCTCTGGACTTAGAGAGATTTAATAAAAATAAAAAAAGTGATTTTTTAAATTAAATTATATTTTCTATCTAATTAATCACTAAAATCAATAAATAATTATAGTAATTAAATTATAACTCAAAAAATCATGAAATTTGGTTCAACTGATCCTCTGACTTAATTGAACCTTCAATATATTTTTCATGAATAAAAATTTTACTTTAACTAATTAAATAAATTAAAATTAAAAATTCTTATTTTTGGGCTAAATAATCTATTATAAATTAAATAAAAAAATTGATAATTTCTCCTCTGATATTTTAATTGACCTATAAGTGGGGTACCATAAAAATTTCAAAGTCATTTGAGTTCAATTTAATTAGTTATGAAGTGGAGGGGCCCTAGGGGCAAAATAGTAATTTTTAGATTTTATTGCTTTAATTAAATTTTAGGATTAGTCAAAGGGTAAATGAGTAATTTTGATCATAATAAACTCTTGTGGATGTTTAAA